TTGTGAGGATTTCTACACAGTATATCCTGCAACAAATTAAACTTAAAACTGCATTCTTAATTGACTTATGAGTCAGCTAGGAGGCTATTCTAACACCCACCACAGTGCCAAGCATGTAAGAAGCACTCAATGATGAGAATTTGTTGAACGAATGAATGAACGAATGAACGAACGAAAGAATGAACCAACTCTCCATTCCTTACCATCTTTGATGAGCTTTGGCCAAAACTGAAATACCAGCATTGTTAATGAATGTAGCATGCTATCACTATTTTTTATATTTCTTTTGGCTCTGATATTGAGTATTCAGAAGTCTCATTGTGTTCTGAAACAGTGGATTTCAAAAGAACATGAGCAGGACTTGCAAACAACAAAGATTAGTCAAATGTCATGCATGGAGTATGGCCATGTATTCAGCAAAGCATAGTAATTAAGGCATTGGACTCTGGACCTCACTGCTCAGAATCAGATGGGAGGATCTGTCCCTCATGAGCCACATGACTTTAAATCACTTCACCTCTCAGGGCCTCAGGGCTTTTCAATTATTCGAGTACAACAATGCCTCCTCTTAGGGTAATTTTAAGGATTTAAAGGGATTAAATATTTGAAATAAGTTTAAACAGCACCTGTACATAGCAGGCGCTCTATTGGCCTTTAACAAATCAACAGTCATTTAGAAGACAACTTTCTTACAGGTGCGGACAGTTATCACTGCTATGTAAGTCTGTTAAACTGAATATGGAAGTTTCTTCCCACGACTATTTGCAAATTCCACTCTGCAGCCATTTACTCAGAAATCAACATGGTATGGTTTTCTTTCTAAGGCTGATCTGGTCAAGAGCGGCAGCTCCAGGTTTCCAAGTTTATCAAACTCTGGGTCTATACAGGGGCATCGCTCCCAGGTTTCAGTCCTGCCGATCAGATGCTCTACTCAAGCAACTCAAATATGTCTTTTCTGTGGCCAGGGAGGTGCGCAGATTCCCCTCTGCTTTAGAAGTTTTGGTTTCTTCCATAGCTATTCTGCGTCTCCTGTCACTCTGCTGTGTTGGGTTTTGTCTGTATTCAAAGGAGGCCTGCGCTCGCGTCTATCCCAAGCGTCTGTGCTCGGAGTTGAGCGGTTTGCCCCCCTCTGTCTCTCATCATTGCTTTTGGCTCAGTCCCTTGACAGGAAATGAGAGATTTATTTTATCTGGCTTGAACTACATTGTTCCTTCCTGACTACTGGTGTTACTTCACTCTAAATAACATGACTTTGTGCTCAGAGTCTGCCCAAGGTCAAAACCTGAGGGTAATAGACACATTTAAGGGCAGGGGAGGAGAATATAACCAGAGGGAGGAGTGGGCAGCAGAGGGAAAAAAAAGTAGTGATGCAAAAGCTACACTTGCAGCAGGTCTAAATTTTCAGGCAGGCTTGAAATGGAATCGTTCTGAAGAGCTGAAAGGGTATTTTTTTTTTCCACTTCCAGATGTTAACAATTTAAAATGACACTATGAAGTAATCTAGGCTTGAAATTCAAATTTAGTTTTAAAAGAGAGCATGAGTTGTCTGGGAGAAGGGTTTACAAAGCTTATTAATATCTATGATATAATTGTAGTGTGTTTTGAATAACTTTAATTGGAATAATTATTGGAATTCAAATATTCCTCTTTGGTTTGACACAAAATATATAGAACTGTGATTGTTCATACAAATAATAATGTCAAATTCATTATTTTAAAAAGTTAAACTTGGTAACTGAAACCTGCACTTGGAATCTGAAGCCCTAAAAATGGCTTAAATTTTCATATGAATTGAAGTGTTATAAACAAGAACACATCTGAAGCCCATCTCCTAACCCACTCGCATTTTTCCTTTCCTTCCTTTTTTTCCCCCTTTGGAGGTGTGAATAAAACTTTTCTTGGTTTCTTCAAATACCTCTAGAGTTTCAAAGGGTCAACAGGATGGCCACCCAAAGGCAGGGTGAAAGAAAACATCTCAGTGTCACTGGTCACACCGTTTACGCTGAGCTGAACCTCTCTGGGATCATTTAAAAGATTGGGAGACAGGGAGAAAACTGGCTGATCCAGATATATATTTTCCTGTTCTTTTATCAGATTGTCATACTATTTAATAATACTTTTGCCTCAGGAAAATGGATTTCATGAAAATGGACTTTAAAGAAGGCAAAAAGGATTTAGGTTCCATATAAGGCCAGATTCTGCATGCAGAAAATTATTTATTTCACATGGGTCTTCCATTTGTGGAGAAGATGATGGAATCCCTTCTTTTGCCACTCATATCATTCTGTATGTTGTAAGCATGATTTATGCCAAAGTCAGGAGGCCAACCTAATGACATCTTAAAGACTTTAGATGTTTATGACATATAACACCTCCTTTAGGAAGACCTACTCATCTCTGTGGAACTAAATGGACATCACCAGACTGGGGTGGGCAAGGGCCCAGTATCTGTAAATCAGAAGTGATTTGTTTCTTTATGTATGTGCCTCACCTTGAAACTCTAACTAGAAATTATTCCTCAGTACAACTTAAATTTACACAATGTTATATTTCAACTATATCTCAGCTAAAACAAAAAAAGAAATGATTCTTCAGAATCATACCCCCTGCTCCTTTCAATTCCTTACAAGATGGCCTCCATGTGGAATGATCCGCCAAACACTAAAATGTGGGAGACACAACTGTCAGGCAGCTAGGCAGACATGAGTAGGTCCACCCTGTCCTGGACAAGGTTCCCCCTCTCCACCCACCTCCTTGTCACCAGATGGCAGAACACACCCCAAACCCCTCCTGTTCATGGTTCAGACTTCTGCCTTATTACGGTCAAACAAGATGTAGAAAGCCCAGTGGGGCTTCCAGACCCCAACACAGGTCGGTTGCAGATGCACTGAGACCCAGGAGGTGACCTGGAGTTACCTTGGGGTTCATTATACCATAATTATAATAAATTTGCATTGCAGTTTTTTGGCTCCCAGCCAAGTGGGCTTCACTTGCATGCTTATGGCAAGTATCTGTATTTAGGAAAAAGGTTATATAACCTGAAACTGTCAATCAACATGTCAATCAAATGACATAAGACGCAGGGAGGGACTTTCTACCATTTTAAAGGAAACAATAAAAACCAACTGTAACCCTAATAGCAAGGCTGTTTCTGGTTTGCAGACAGCCCATTCTCCACCCTTCTTGAGAGTGTACTTTTGCTTTGCTTAATAATCTCCTACCTCTTTAACACTGTTCTAAGAATGTGTCTTGATTGAATTCTTTCCTTCAAGAAGACAGAATGGGGGTCTAAAAGAACTGGTAAGACAACTGCATAAGAATTCCAATAAAGTCTCATTTTCAACACTAAGTTCTTAAAAGTTACAAAAAATAATTATTTGTATACTTTGTTTTTAATGTTTTCTGATTATTAAATTTTAAATATAGTCCTAAAGAGCAAACATTAAAAATGTATTTCGTTTATCCATGAGCCTATAAATCAGCTAAGAAGGTCCTCACCCAAACCTCTAAATCATCCCCAACAGCTTTTCCTTAAGTCTATATACCTTTATAGGCGACGGAATGAAATATATATACTAAGTAATATGTCCAAAATTATAAGTGGTAAATTGGGATTAAAATTTAGGGGTGTCTAATTCTAAAACTCATATCTGTTTATTATTTTGAAATATGAATTCAAATGCTAGATTACAGAAAATTCAGTGTGTACAGAGTCCAACTGTGTCACTGACCTGTACAAAATAAGGAGTTGCAAATAAAAACGGTCCTTGTGTTCCTCACAGCTTAAAAGTAGAGTTACTAACCGATTCAACAATCTCACTCCTAGGTATATACCCAAGAGAAATGAAGTTCATAGCCACATTTCCACAAAAAGTAGACATAACCCTGATGTTCAACGGCTGATAGATGAATAAATAAAATGTGGCATATTCATACAATAAAATATTATTTGGCAGTAAAAAGACATGAAGTATTGACATACAACATGGATGAAACTTGAAAACATTCTGATCAAAGTGAAAGACACCAGTCATGGAAGACCGCATATTACATGATTCCACTTAATTTAAATGTCCAGAGCAGGCAACGCAATAGAAACGTAAAGCAAGTTAGCAGTTGCCTGAGGCTGTGACATGGAGGGAGAAATGAGGAGTTTCTATAAATGAGCATGGAATTTCTTTCTAGGATGATGAAAATGTTCTAAAGTTGATTGTGGTAATGCTTTCAGAATTCTGCAAATGTACTACATATAGTTGGATTATACTCTTCAACTGGAAGAATTATTATTAAATATATCTTAATAAAGCTTTCATTAAAAAGAAAAAAGTTCTGTAAAACCTTTGCACCTGTGTCATCAAGAAGAGATAGACAGCACATCCCTATGGTGAGAAGACACCACTAAGCAAATTGAGCTACTGCAAAGTGAGGCAGAGTTGGTTATCTTCCATCATTTTCCCTCAATATCAGCAAAGCTTTGGTCTGCTAGATCCACGTGGATTTATGATCATTGGGAGAGTTAAAAGATATCCCTCTCTGGCCAACTAGACTTGGAGACTATGTTGAAAAACTTAGAACCACAAACTGGTAGTTTATTCACCCAAAACTAACCACTTGTTAGACATTTTTCATCTGAACTGACCACTGATTTGAGTAACTGTGTAGACAACCACAAAGAACAACTGAAGTAGTGAGGAAGTATTATTTTAAAAGTAGTTACTGTTTTATTAACACTTAGGGAGTATGATTCCCTGCTTCTACACAGATTGATTTCCTCATGTTTCAATGTGAAGTTGCCCAACTGTCCAATTTGTCAATATAATTTTCAGTCCCACAACTCATCATTAGATGACAGGAAAACATCATATTGTGGAAAAGAATCAGTACGTAGTAATCAAATGTGCCATGATGTTGACATTTCCCAACCCCCTCCATAGTTTTGTTTTTGTTTTTTTTAAGGGAGAATTCTAGAAGTGCCTACACACAGAATAGCCAGTTTGTGAAGGACCAGCTCCCTGGAGATATTGATACATTTTATCCAGATAACCTTTAGATGTTTATACCTTAAAAGTTACTCAGTTGAAGTTGCTTTCAAATTAAACACCAAGGCTGCAGTGTTTCTGTTGTGATTGTGGAGGGAAGTGGAGCCAGTGAGATTTGTCCATGTTTTACAAATCACCATCTGGCAGGGATATGGCAACATGTGAAATCTTCACAGGACTCTTGTTTTTCTACTATCTGCTGGATAACTAAGGAGATCACCAGACTGCTGGGATGCCTGCCAGATGGTAAGCAGGTATGTTTATGAGTTTAAGATTCTTATTTTCTTTCAATGCTTTCACATGCTGTGGGCTCTAAGGCATAAAAGTGAAAGGGAGAATGAGAAAGGTAGTAGATAAGAAAGTGACTGTGTATGATCGTTACATACCACTTGGAAGTTTCTTCATATGTTAATTTTCTAAAGACTACATTGAATTATTTTCTACCATGTAGAAATATCACCAATCATATGGTCACAGTATTTTTTTTAAATGCTCCATTTTTTTCATTTTTGTACAAATGAACAGGTGTAGAGTTTCTCCAGTCCTGCTGAGTAAGCATGTGCTACCCGTAGGATCATAAGCAACGTCAACAAACATCTGGTAAGTGTATACCCTGTTCATGGTGCTGGGCGAGCCATTTCAGCAAAATAAAAGTGAGGGTCTGTTTTATTTTATTTTGATTGTTCAAATAGACTATCATAGGCAAAGAATACCTACCTAGTCGAGTCATAACAAAAAACCCTCTAACAATCAAATATTCACACTGTTGAATCAGGGAAGTAAGTGGTAATCAGTAGAGTGGCTTCTGTGAAAAGAAAAGGGCATCCCAAACAATTCTGATAGATAATAAGTGAATATCACAAAAGAGGCAGTGGCTGGTACACAGAGATTTAGTTCTTTAAAGTTAGGTTTCAGTGCTTGCTCAGCAATATACTATAGCAATATGACCCAATGCAAGTTTTTGAAATTCTCCAAGCTCCAATCAGCTCATCTATAAAATTGGTGATAACAGTTGTATCTTTTATGATTGTGATGATATTTGAAAAATAAAAAATGCAAAGCATCAGCAAGCATATAGTTGCTCAATAAATGGGGCCAGTATCATTATTACTGGTATTACTGCCATCTGGAGAGGGCCCCCTCTAGGTTCAATCCCCAGATGCAGAATTTGCCTAAATGATTTATATAAATGTATACATAAACTTATTAATTTGTATATTTAGATGCACATGAGGTCTATCTGCACTAGTGCACTATGTAAATATATGTCAATACAAATATATATCCTAGTATTCAATATATTCTGTCTAATCAAAGGAAACAAAAATAAATACTTTGAAAGCTCTGTGTAATTATACTGAGTAAATACTAATAGTTTCAATTTCCAGAAGTGATAGGGCAAATTGCTGAACCTTTCTGTGTCATAGATACAGAACAGAGAGACTAAAACCTGCTTCATAGGGTTGTATGAAGATTTAAGTGTGATTATTTGTACATAACACGATGTTGAACATTGCATGATGCCCCTGACAGAGAATAAATGAATGTTAGCTTCCTTTTCCTTCCCCTTCAATTACCAGCTTTCCTCCACCTCTGAATTTAGTCTGTATTTGCACATCCTTGCCTTCTTCTCTCCAGATGAAGGATAGATGTCTCTGCTTCTTTCTGACCCTTTCGATTACATTCTTAATTCCATCATTCCCCCATCAGAATTAGTTTTCTCAATTACATGATTCTTCTATTTTTATCATAAATTCCTTCTCATCCACTAGTTCCTTCTCCTTAGCTTACAATATACTCATTTCCCCCATTCTAACAATAACTTTCTTAAAGAAATATTACCAAATGACTGAAGAAACAGAAAGCCTAAATAAGTCAATGACCATGCAGGAAACTGAAAAGTTCATTAAAGATCTGTCTCTAAAAAATGCCAGACACAGGTAGATTTCTTTTTTTTTTTCTGACTCAGGTAGTTTTATATTGGGTCTAATAAAACTGAGTTGAACAGACTTTTTTTTCTTGTTTACAAAAATCAAAATGATTAAAAGACTCACATTTCTTTTACAGGTTAGCACAACCCTGACACTAAGTTATAAGCAACAACATAGTATAGTACACACAAACATACACACACACACACACACAATTATAGACCAAACTCACTTAAAAATAAAGAAGCAAAATTCTAGTAAGTAGATCTTGGAATAAAATCAGGAATTGCACCATAACCATACGGTATTGAGTGCAAGGATGGAAGCCTGGCTCAACACAAAAATATCTAAGTAATTTTTTACATGTAAAATAGTAGACAAAAAATGAAAACTCAAGCAAATCGTTAAAAAGTCTTTGAAAGAAAGTGTCATTCCAGATCTGCTTAACGTAAGTTAGGGAGAGAAGACAACTGCCTTCTAAGGAAGTCAATTTGTCACAAATCACAATAAAACGCACAGTGAGTGGTGAAATACTCAAATCATCTTCTGCTGACTCAGCTTCCCTTATTTCTTACTTCCTGCTCTTTTTCACCAACAACCACATCGCCAGCCAGGCCGTGTTTACTGCCTCTTCTTACTCATCTGGACATTCTTCAGCCCACTGCAAATACTTCTGCTCCTACCTTTTCCAAAATCTCTTTTCTCAGAGGACACCAATAGCCACTTAATTTCCAAGTCCAGTGGTCTGTTCTCTGGCCTCATCCTCTTTTAATTTCTCACCAGCATTTCTGACTATGAGGCACCACCTGTTCGTCTCCTCTTCCGCCTCGACTCTGGGAATGCCTCTTGCTTGGCTCTCCTGTTTTCTGCTTGGCATTTCTCAGCCCGTCACTGCCTCCTTCCTCTACCTGCTCCTCAACATGTGGGATCCCCAGAAGCCCACCCCTTACCCTACCCAGGGAATGTAGATCAACGTTCAAGAGGAATGAGAGAACCAAGAAACTAGTCACCAAACAAAGTAAATAGAAGACTGCATTTAACAATTTTACACGATTGCAACTTTTCCGGTTATAGTCTAAGTGAAGTAGACTTAAAAACAAACAAAAAAAAATGTATACATGTATGTATGTATGTATGAATGTAGGTATGTATAGTGTTACGTGGGCAATCTCTGCCTAGATTACGTTGCTCATTTTAAATATTTTAAATATTTAACCTAATGTATGAATCTTTTCTGTGATCAACTGTACTTGATTATCTTTAAGTATGGTATTGACACCTATAGTTAATATAGTAATTTAAACTTGAAATATGAGTTTTCTAATTTTGCATCATTTTGATTATTAACCCTTTTATTAACCACCTATTTAATTTGAAGGCAACTAGTGCTATTAGAATTATAAGGATGTATTTGAGTGTAATTTAGTAGAATTCAGCAATCATTTATTGAATTCTAGTGACATGTGAAACGTTGTGATAGTCAATCTTTAATATGTTGGCTTTAAACAGATGCTACATAAATGCAACGACTGACTTCCAAATATAAAGTAACAACTTTAACAAAGAGCTGATGTTTTAATCTTGTTAATTTTGACATACCTTCCTGTCCCTAATTTGTGAGCAAACAGTAAGCCAAATATAAACATCAGAAAGAGTTACACAGGTGTCTCCAAATCCCTTATTATGCAGTCAGCAATCTCTCAATAAAACTCTTCAGTAAACTGGATCATCATTCTCCATTCTCTCATCTCCAAATGATTACCATGTCATTTTTTGCTATTTTCTCCCCTATACCTCCACAAAACTTGGAAACCACAAATATGTGTTAAGTAAAACTCCTTGCAGCCCTTTGCTGCCTCCTTTCTCCCCTCTGACATTTGTATCCCTCAATGTTATACCTTTCAGGTAATTTAAGAAGCCAGTGCTTCTGTGTTCTCTCTTATTTGATACACGTTAGAAAATATAAATAAAAAACTCAAACCTAGACAACATAAAATAGGGCATTATTCACTTCATGAAGAGATCCTTAACTTTACAAAATATTGCCTACTGAATTCCTCTAAGTAGCAATTTTCTCTAGTGCATGAAAAGTGTAAGTCAATTAAGTAACATATATTTACACTCAGCTTTTCCAAAACCACATCAGTTCTACAAACTGGGCTGCACTTTGTCCCCATCAGATTACTGCATCCCATACAACATGGAATGGAAAATGAGGCACAGCCAGACAAAAGAATATGATTTCCTGACTCCAGCTGAAGCACTTACTCATCTAAAGTAGTAGATTCCAAATGTTTAAAAAGCCATCAAAATATTTCTTCAATAGAAATCTTACTAGGGCACAATTTTAAAAGAGGTGGAAGTCCTAGGGTTATGTTCCCCTGCCACTCACCAACTGGCCTCAGGGTCACCTACAAAAAGCCTACTGCTGTCCTCAGAGAAAGATTGAAAGCCATTGTACTAGGCTATTTTCTCCTTCTTGTTAAAGATGTGGCTACCAAAATCATAATCTTACAACAGATAAAGTCCCAATGTGACCACAAGGGCCTTACAAGGAGCGTGCCTCGTTCTTTGTTTAAAACGGGACCCCCAAGTATAAAAATCAAACGAATAATCATATCTGACTTGATTGTTTATAGTTCATGATGCGTGATCAAAACCAAAAGTTTCTGTGATATGACTGCCCTTGCACTGTTCACCATGTAAGAACTTATTCACTATGTAAGAACTGGTTCATCATGTAAGAACTTGTTCGTTATGCTTCAGAAGATTGGAGACTGTTGAGAGTTAGGCTTGGGGTTGATTAATGATTGTGCATTGAGTCCCCTATACAGGATTTTATTGTTGTTAAGAACCATTTGATCAATAAATATGAGAGGTACGCTCTCAAAAAATAAAAAATTAAAATAAAAAAGTAAAAAAAATAAAACGGGACCCAGGAGATGGGTCGCACATGACAAATGGCTGATCATGGTAACAATAATAATTTTTAAATAATGAATAGATGAATCTCCTTGCCGGAGGAATGGTTTCCTTTTCCTGTGCCCGTTGTTCTGTCTGTGCCAACTCTAACACACACCCATTCCAGGAATGGCATTCAGCCATCCTGGCAACCAGAATTAGAGCAAAGAAAATATGAAATTTCTCTTCAAAACATAAGTGGAAAGATGAATGCAAAGCCAAGCAAAAAGTGCCCAGATTCAACATGCACATTGTTAAATGTCACTTCATAGTAAGACACTTTACGAGCGTCAAGTAAACGTGGACATGTATAAATCAGGAGACTAAGAACAGGTATGATCTATCAAAAAGGATCAGCAAGTAAAGGGAGTCCAGAAGAACATACAAATCTACATTGACAGATAGTAACTGCACTCGTGGGGTGACGATTTAATAACTGGTATATACACCGATAGAATAATATGGATAACCGTTGAACCACTGTGTTGTATACGTGAAACCCTTATAAGATTGTATACCAACTCTACTTTAATGAAAAATAAATTTTAAAGAAACAAAACATACAAGTTACCAGTTACAACTGGTAATTCCTCAGGGAATGAGGGGAGTGGAAACTGGACAAATAAAGAAAGGGAAGATATATATTTTTTGTTGTATACATTTTTATACTTTTTGAATTCTGAACCATGTGACTATATTCAAGAAATCAAATAAATTAAAATTCTCATAAATGAGAATAAAAGCATCATTCCAATAGACCATACTAAATATCTTGATAGCATGACAATAAATGTTTCTGTTTGGGGGAAAAATCAGCACCAGGAGAACGTTCCAACCTAAGAACCTAGCTTTGCTCCAAGCAGGGCCCATCCATTAGGAATACCTCCCCTACTACTTCAGTTAACTCCTTCAGTAAGGGGGCACCTATTGACTAAAGCCAAGGATCCACTCCCAGATTTTCTAAGAGAGACACAGTTTGGCAAGGATTCCCAACAGTCCAGATAACTGATAGGGGCCTGTAGGTCAACACTTGATGGGCTTTGGAAAAGAAAAGTGAATGTCTCACCTTAAATTAAAAATCAGAGAGGGGATTTCACAGCTCTGTCATTGTGACAAAAAGTTGCAAAGATCATAGATAAAATCTTCACCACCCTGAATGACAGCATATACCCGCTTTTCAGTGCACAGCATTTTCCCCATGTGAACCAGGAACAAGATGTTTGTTGACTGACAGGTCTTGCTCTGAGCATTTAATCACCAAAAAAGGTTCTTAGAAGAGAATCACTAAAACCTGATAAAAATGAAAAAAGTAAGATTTCTTTCACAACAGACATATCAAACAAGTTTCGGTATCCCCAAAACATCTTGTACAGCTATTAAATGCAAAGAATATTATGAGGAAGCACAAGTGAAATAAATACACCTAGGAGATAACCTGGTTTATTTAACTGAGTAAAAAGGCAAAATCTTATTGGTAAATGCTATGTTCCTATGAGCTGCTTGACAGTAGCTGGCACTCCATGAAGTCTGCATTACTTACCAATTAACTAAGCAGGTCAGACTTGCCTCTGGGACCAAGAGCCTACAGCAGTATGACTTGGGAGTGGGAGATGGCACAGAATGTTCTCGATCTTTAATTAGGTCTAGGGTCATATGTGCTGCAACTTTTTTGAATGATCATAAGCTGTGTCCTCCTGCGCATAGGAGACTGGCACACTGAATTCAAGCATTAGTGCATGAGCTATCACTAAAAACGTTTGTCATTAAAAAAAATCACACTAATTAGTTACCTAATTGTGCATATTGTTGAAATAAATGCTTTACAAGCATCAGTGCAGGCAGACTTTTCCCATCTTTAAGAAGCTCACAGTCTAAAAGAGGCCGTCCCACTGATAAGGATCCATACAGGACACGCACAGAAAACAACAAAGAAGATTCACATTTTGAAACAAAATGCTAATTCATGATCAGCATAAAGCTAAAAGGTATGTTCTGAAACACGGCAGAAAATAATTTCAAATCCATTTGATTCTGTAGTTGAAGTGTGAGGTTACTTGGCTTTTTTTTAAAGTCCATCAATAGTTTTCAAACATATTAATGCTTAAGATTTTAAAAATGAATCATATGGAAAGACAAGTGCCTTATGATTTCACTTATATGTGGAATCTATAAAAATAAAACACATAAACGAAACAGAAATAGACTCAAACATGGAGGACAAACTAATGGCTACTGTAGGAAAGGTGGGTGGGGATATGAGTGAAATAGATGAAGAGGATAAAGAGGTACCAGCTTCTAATTATAAAATAAATCATGGGGATGAAAAGCACAGCATAGAGAATATTGTCAATAATATTGTAGTATCTTTGTATGGTGACAGCTGGTAACCACACCTATCATGGTATTTTGTAACATATATAATTGTTGAATCACTATGCTGTATTCCTAAAACCAATATTATACTCTATATCAACTTAAAAAAATTATTTGTAGCTTAACAATTACTACAAGCAAAATTTTATGTTGAAAAAATTATATATAAAATGGAAAAATAAAAAATGAATACTGTATTTTTAAAAAGCAGATGAATATTCATGGTTGCTCTAGTTCTCTTTCCTGCCACACCCCCTTAATCTATCCAAAGAACATTCAGAATAATTCAATTTAGTCCATTCCCATGGTTTTAGGGAGGTGAGGTGTGGATTAAAATGGTTCATCGTTCAGCTGCTTGTACAAACCTTTGTGTGCCTTTTTCAAAGGAAGGGAGTCAGATATTGTATAAAGTACAAAAAAAAAAAGAGAAAGTAAATGACTATTCATTTTACAGTACTTTTAAGTTAGATAAGCTTAAAGCCTCATTTAGAAGAAGTAGTTAAAAGAGGTGCATTTTAATCTGTGCATCCTACTTTCAAAATTGCAGAAGAAAGAAAGAGCTGTGCTACATTGACATCAGGATGGTGTGAAGACAAAGAAAAAACAAATGATCATATAAAGAAGAAATTAATTATAATGAAGGCAAATGTGAAAATAAAAAGATTAAGAAAAAGGAGGGGCAAAATAATTTTAAGGGCAATAGTGAATGAACTTAACCAAAGCAGCAGAAACAGAAACACTGTTTTGTATTTTTTTTTTCCCTACGGAGATGGGGATTTCCCCCTGCCCTCTTTTCCTACTAGCAAATTATATTATCAACACTTTTGTATTCACTTACATAAATTTAAAAAAAGCAACTCTTTTCAAATATAGCTTATTGAATGACTTGTAATCACTTAAAGTTGTGTTTTAAATTTCACTGCAAATGCAAACCAATTCATGTGTTTGTTATTAATAATTCATAATTTAAAGTAACAAAAAATAAATGGCATCCAAATTACTGTTAAACTTGCAATTGAATTATCTTCAATAAATGCTCAGTTAACAAAATTAACTTTTTCTTTATTTCCACTGCACGATATAGGCAAAAATGTATTTCTATGTGCTGCTATGGATACAATACATTTTTTTTCAATTTTGTGTGTTCTACCTTTTCAGAAAATAGCATGTACATATTTCAGTTGTGATTTGAGGGTATTAAGAAGATGACTCTCACTGGGGTGGTATAATGTGGCCAACAGCGGGGGAATAAGTCTGCTGGTATAAAATCTAAAAATTAACAGTAGCTTTAATTGTTCCACAGCCCTTAATTTTCTTTGTAAAAAGAATACATAAAATAAGCCTTGTTTTTTCTTCCATTTTCTAAACTGTAGCCTTCTTTAAAGTAAATATTCTAAGCAGAATCGGTCCATTATGACTGCCATCCCTTTGCAGTCCTGCAAAGCAAGGTAAGACAATTTTGCAGAGCTTTTATTTGCAAGGATTCCTTCCCTGAGGCAGTTTCTGTAAAAGGGTTAATGACAGATGTTTCCATTAAATCTGACCTACCTCTTAATTTTGCCATTGCCTGATAATATCCTGGCTTTGTGCTTATTTGCATGGACAAATGGAGTCACTCCATAACAAGTAACACACCACTCTCATTGAAACAAAAGGTCAATTCATTTTCAAGCGATGTGTACGATATTTTTTGTAGTTGCAGTTAAAAAACAAAACAAAACAAAACCTTTTCATACAATGCTACTATTTACAAAGAATTAACAGCTCTGTTTTCTGAACCCCTGGACACAATGTACATCTGTAGGCAGAAACTGAGTACTGCCAATAGAAATCAATACATCTCCCTGTAGGTGACCAACTAGAAAAATCACTTCTGTCTCTGGGATGTTCCTCTTGTTTTTTACACTAAATACAACCAGGACACAGTAAATTTTCTTTACTGAGGAATTTGTTGAAAACTCCAAAATGCTAGCAGCACTTTCTTGTTTACTGAGTGTTATTACTTTAGCAAAGGGAAAAAAAAAGCCTGTAAATATAGAGGGAACAGTTATTGTCTTAGGTTCGTTAAAAGAAACAGGCTTTTTAGCCTTTGGGCTGCCGGTCTGGATGCTACTGTTTAGAAGTGGCCAAACTATGTTTAACCACATGAAAAGAGTAAGTGATCTTGAGCCTTGACCAGGTTGCTGTAATAAGCCCCTTAAAAAGAGAAATAAATAAAGGCAGTCAAATAGTTATGTACAAGGCTCTGGTGAAGCCACTTCTGGTGGGAGGATCAAATACTGTCAAGGGGCTTTCCATGGTCCTATCTTAACTATGCATTTCCTTTTTGAATAGTCTATAGCTGAGACTCAGGAAACATTGCATTAATCTAACTGTGCTGTTTCACTTTATTGTAACATTCAAGGAGTTTAAAATTATCACTTGCTAGAGAAGTACTCTCTGCAATTATATATACAGTGATTAATATATATATATTACATATTATGGTAGTGTGTGTATATATATATATATATATTATGCATATTGTATTTCATCTTTATCATTATAGCCTAATCTCTGAGACATTTAAATATTGAAATTCTGGCATTAAAGACCACCTTACTCTGAAAACATCTCTCCTGTGTTTTACTGACAGTAAATCCATATTCAAAACACTTCCATTATACCAGGATTCTTGAATTATCTGAAAAGGAAATGAGATAAAAATAACATTTTATAAAAACCAAGGCCCTACTTTAGTTCGCTATGACTGTAGTGTCAGTGAAACTTTTGTACAAAGCTCTAAACATAAGGCCCTGCAAAATGCTAGGCAATCTGGTTCTGAACACTTTCTTCCATGCCACCCAAAAGCCTAAGGTCAGTAATTTGGTCCCTAGTAATAACTGAGTCACTTAAGGTTTGTATGGTTGCCATATACCCACTGCATCAATTTGACAGAAAAGAAACTTTCTTCTGTTCCCTTCTTTGAACAGGCCTTGTAATGTAAGAGGCAAGAATGGCTCCAGAGGAACTGCTGAGAACCACTGCGTCAATCACATGAACATTAAAACACAACTTGCTAGTAGTCATCACTATAAAAAGTATTCTCTTGCTCTGTGGAAAATGGTTTCAAGTAATTGTTGTGTTGGAATGGGAGTTTTGTTCTTTTTTAACAGCGTAATTTGAGAGAGAGAAAAAAAAGAGAAGATATGTTCAAGAAACAAACCTATATTAAAATAGTTGAATCAACTAATTGTCAACAAATGGTATCATCATATTAGCACAGAAATTATACATTATAGATTCCTAGGCCCAAGAGGCACACTCATGCCCTAACAATACAGTTGGCTAACTGATGCACAACAACCGTAAGAAAGGGACAAGAATTTGGCCTGACCTGCCTCATCAAAGAGAATCTCCTCTGACTTTGAAATATTATTTTCTTCCATGCCCTCAATTGCAGAGCTAATGAGCACCGAGTGGAATCAAGTCTGAGAACAGTTTCCCCTTTAGTTCTCTTTCTGGTTTCAGCTAAGCTGATCTCTAACAGTGTTAGTGGTTTGTGTTAGGGAATGCTATGTGATGTAAGAAGAACTTAGATATTTGTGAAAATGAAACTAACTGGACTACTGGTCCAATATCGGTAGCTCTCGGTGTTCCTGTGTGACACAGACTGATGCAGGAATGAATTACTGTATCTTCAATTAAGCCAACAAAGACTCATACCATTATTATAGGTCAGAGGTGTTCAACTGTAGTTTCTCTGTAGGAAAAAGTGGTAGGCAGTAGAAGGGTGGGACCTTCTGACAGCTTTCTAAAGACATGGTCCTGAAGAGTTAGAGCTTGCCAGTGGGCCACCTGCAGAAAATTCTACTGCTTATATGAAGCATCACACTAGGTTATAAGAAAATAAATGAACAAAATACCCAGGTTAGCAATTCCTTCAAAAATGTTCTGAGGCTTGGAAACGGAGAGAATTATGAGATGGGATGCTGCCAATCTTTGTGGAGTGGCCCTGGGCAAGTTATTTTGTGTCCGATCTACTGTTGTTACCGGTGCTACTACTGATAATAAAAACATCCTAACAACAACTTCGAGGAACAATATTGTGAGAATTAATGTGTACAGTGACTTACACATGAGGAAAGAAAGACACAATGTTATACTATTACAAAGTGCTTTATCAACCAGCATATTACATAATGTGTTATAATGTACCATGTGCCCATGGAAACATGAAATCATTCATAATTCTTAAGTACTGCCAGATGCGTAGCTATAACAAATTTCAACCCTCTCTGAAGAATTCACCCACACACTCACTTCTCCAACCAATATTTCCATGGGTAACTGTCAGAATTGAGAAATCACAGAATAGACCCTTATTCATGTCTCTGTGGTAATTACATATAGTTTGCTTCATAGTTGGGAAGGGAACATGTCTTATTCATAATTTTATAACTGGTGACTTGCCCTGTTCTGCTATATAATGACTGCTCAGTAAATGTTTATTGAATGAATGAATGAATGAGTGAATAAATGAATAAATGAAAGGAAAAGATAACAGTCACATATGGTAACTTAAAGAATAATCTTAGTAACTTCACTACCTAGACTAAGAAGTGTCTCTAATGCAAGAACATTTAGAGTGGATGTGATCAAAGACTGGCTCCTTCCCAGCAAGTCTATATGTTATTTCCTAGTATTAGTTCATTTGTCACTTGTCATAACTTTCTGGAATGTACAAGTAATCCTATTACAAGAGATCCTTGGCATTCTTAGTGGAGGCATCTGGTTTTACTTAAAATACTGAATGATTGCATTTTTCAATGGTTGGGAACATGGTACAACATTTATACAGACTGAAGAACCTCTGAATATTATAATATACCTGAAGTAGGTGAAGGAACACTCAAAATTTTAGACTAATATTCATAAGGCACAAATGCAATGAAATAGAAAAAACTCTGGATTTGGACTGAGAAGCTCCAGCTTGGCTACATACTTGCTCTATGAAATTTGCTTACTTTCACTTTTTTCTGAGCCTCTGCTTTCATCTGTAATGACAATAGTGAGTAATAGGAAGTTCATACACACAGGGCCAATAAGGCAATTTAGTAGGTCAACTAATGTAGGCAAGGTAGTATATAAATGAAAAAATGCCATACAAAATAGTATGACAGCTAGGTATAAAACAGCAGAGAAGTCTGTGGTGAAAATACACTCTGAAATCCTTAAGCTCAGGGTTCATAACATATTCATCTCTGTAGTTCTTTTGGCACAGCCTGAAAAAACGAATCAGATCAATCATCAATGTCAGTTGGTGAACTGGAGGCACAAGTGAGATGTGTGCATTCAGTTCTCAGAGTGGCCTTTCAAGCTCCCGTTCTATACACTCTCTAACTTTGTATTTTTCAAAGTATGGTCCTCCCACAGCCAGCATTATATTTGGCTGGTTTGCTGTTAAAAATATAGGATCCCAAAACTCATCCAAGGAGATTGTAAGGCAATATATCAAGCACCCAAGATAACTCTTACGTATGCGAGTAGAGTAGGTTTTAAATTTACTTTTGGACATTCAGCGGTTATGGCATAAGATCGGTTCCATCAGGGAGGGTATGTGCTCTTAACTCATATATTTTATATATCTTGCTCTTTACAGTTTACAAACTGCTTTCAAATACATGAAAGACAGTATTAAAATCAATGAGAAATAGTTTAAAAACTTTATACTACAAAAATGTAAGAAAATATAATTAAGAAATGAAATTGTGTCCCTTATAAATTTAAATGTGTTCAGGTTAAAAAACAAACATGTATTTGGTTATTGTCTGGTCTACATATGAGATTGTGCTCTGTGTGCTGCTGAACCCTCACTCTGTTCCCTGCTGCTCTGGCCCTAGAAAGGGCCTGGCACAGAGTAGATGCTCAATAAATATTTGTCAAACAGAACAATGAATATACACAACTGAACATGCATACCTCATAAGAGTTGTTGGCTTAAAATCTGCCCATTAATACACAAGGATGGGCTCCTAAGAGAGGTTCTCTTTATTGGAAGAAAATAAGGACACAAGACACAAACGCAGGCTGTCAGCTAAACAGATTTCATTTTTGAGATACTAATTTTTAAACTGAGGTTGAAAATGCAAACTGGAAGGTAATTATCCTCAATTTCCAGATGCTCTTCTTCCCAAATAAAGTTGCATAGCATATAAAAGCCTTCCTGATAAAGAATAGCATTGCTCTGCTTTGAGGGGCAAGGGCATAATAGGTTTGAGATCTGAGGGTGTGTAGTGGTCAGATTCTCCTATTGTTATGAAAAGAATGACTAAGGGCTGGCAAAGATTTTAAGTTCGTGAGTCTGATCTTGACTAGCTGCTGTTCCCTGGACTCCATGCCTTGCCTGATCACTCTGCTCTCTAACCCCTCAAAGATGAGGGAAGGGTAACCAACTGGTTGCAGGCATCAGAAACAGTGATACAAAGGAGTTTCTACAGGAGAGGGGAGGGGAGGGGAGGGGAGGGGAGGGGAGGAGAGGAGAGGAGAGGAGAGGAGAGGAGAGGAGAGGAGAGGAGAGGAGAGAGAGGAGAGGAGAGGAGAGAGGAGAATCAAAGGATGGTTGCTTGGCAGCATCATTCCTGCTAAACAAGAGGGGAAGTTGAGTTTCTACAGGAGTATCACTTGGCTCTAATCACCCCAGGGGTACATAGAGATGGCTTCAAGAATATGTAAACAGATAATGTAAAGGTCAGGACACAGATACATCCCGAATGAATAATCACTAAATAGGTTCAACATGAAAAGTCCATGAATTTAATTGTCAGTTCCCCACAATGACCACTGACAACCTTCCCACCTCCTCACTTCAAACCCAGGCCCTTAACATCCAGGAGGCATTAATCCTTACTTTACCTGGCTTGGCTTTGCAAAAGACACAAAGCTTAGCACCCATAATTATAAAAACCACCTGAATCCTGAATTAATTTGGAGTCGGGTGAGAACACAATCAACTTCACTATAAAGGAGCTTTATTCTTGAGAAGGGATCATGTTTATCAATCCATGTATTCCTTTATTCTTTCATTCAAAAACTATTTTAATGCCTCAAAGAACTTAACATGGTAGGTTCTCAATAATTGTGCATTAGGCAAATAAATACAGAATGAGCAAATGTGCTTGGATTAAAATGGTTATAATTCTGCAATGAACCAACCATATGAATTTGCCAAAAAGCTATAAACCCTTTTCCTAATTGTTAGTTGATATGGAGTGCGGACAAGACCTCAAAGGTCTTAAATTTTGCTCTTTATGCTGAACTAACAAGTGTCAATACTAAAAAAAGAAATGCAACCTGACCTATTCGGATATTTGAAAGACTTAATAAAATCCCTAACTTTGAGATGGCATGAAGTAGAAATCAATTATGGCAATGAAATATTATAAAATACCTTCTAATGAAGATAGAGTGAAAAATATGAAATCAGCACACATAATAGATGCTCAATAAGTGTCTGTTGAAAGAACCTTTAGAAACGTCCTTTTTAGAAGTATATGGATAGAAATACTAAGAAAAAGAACAAAAAAGTGTGAAAACTAGAGCTAATGTTTGTACATAACTAAAATAAGCAGCAAATACCAGAGGTAAGCATCCAGAGAGACATTTCCCAATGTTTATCAGAGCAGATTAGAAAAAAAAATGTGGTACTTCCTGCAGATATCAGTTAACACATTACTGAAACAAAGTCACCTCTGGTATAAAATGTACCAGTGATTAAAAGTTCACAGTCTTAAAAATGTTTTACGAGACACAAGAAGGAAAATATTACTCCTATTTGCAACTAAGCGGTGAGGAAAAAGGTGAAGCTTAAATGATTATTCAAACTGGCACAGACTTGAACCAACAGCAAGATGAACACAGATGGTCAGAGATTCCATTTAACCTTTAACCTAGGAGTTGCCATGCCATCTTCCTGAGAGAACTAATTCTACCAGTGGCTCAATTCTGATTCAAGAGGGTAAGAGTCAGTTTCTGAGTCATAGCATCACACTAGTTTTCCTTTTGGTCCTCTATTCCAAGCCTACCAAATCCCAACCCATTTTAATTTGTCTAAAGGTGGCCTGGCCAGCACCAGAATTTAATGCTTCCATAAATGAACTCTAATTGACATGAAAGATGACTCACTCACAGAAACCTTGTATTGCTGCCATTTGGTCAGTTTGGAGTTTGTTTTTAAAATGAATGCCAGTTGAGGCTGAGCAGAAGCCAGGGTGTGTTTTTATTTTATGTCTCAAATAAAAATAAAGAGCTGGGTATGAATAATCAGAGTGGCAGGCCCCTCCCTGGATACTTCTAAACCTTCCAAAAGCAGTCCTGAGGCTCAGCAAAATGTAATATAGTCAAAATAACCACAGACAGCATTAGTACCAAGGGTTTGCCCCAGAAAAATAAAATAACTGCTATACAGATACCCTGTACTCCCAAATTCCAGTGCTTCTCAACAATATTTTAAGTTGAAATGCCCTTTTTAGAGGGTAGTAGTCCTAGAAAGAACATTTGCAGAAGTTAGAAGGACATCAGGTAAAAGAAAGGTACATATTATTATCTAGTATAATTCTTAAAGAAAAGCGGAGTCTTTAATTAGCCATATATGCTTTGTCATTTCTTATTAAATAGTAGGAAACACACAGTGAACTCCTTGTTATTCTGAGATTGATCACCAGTTTATGGATTATACATATTCTTCACTTCCCTCTCTGTGGTTGATATTTTCTCTGGACAGTTCACAACGGTTACACAATCAGGAAAGAGAGCAAGAAAGATGTGGAGGGAGAGGAGGGAGTTGAAAAGAAGGGGACACTCAAAATGAAAATAAGTCATGGATCAATTCCTGAAAAAAAATAGTGGTGGTAAGAAAAGGGAAATGAGCAAATTAAATAGGGCTTCTGTAAAATGTATGGATTTTAGTCAGCAACGTGTCCTAGAAAAAGAATTAGAGATGAGAGACAAATATAGATAGTGGGAAATACTGATGATATTGTTTCAAGAAATTGGAACACTGAATCAAAACAAATCT